GGAATAATTATAATATTGTAAATTTATATTATAACTATATTTATAAATTCCGCAATATTGCGAATTTTAAAAAATAATAACGGATCCATCTTTAATTTGTACCTATTTCTTTTCTTAGGAGGGTTGTTAGTTTTTAAATTTTATTTAGAAGTTGGAATCGAAGGGCATTAGAAATTATGTTGCTGTATTGACAACCTCATTTGAATTTCTTGTTAACAGTTTAATCATTAGATATGGATTTTTTGGTTGGGTCAGAAAGGGATTCTGGTGATCAGTCGATCTAAACGGGTTTGAGCTTTTATTAGCAATAGGACTATGTGAGATAGTCATTAGTTTAGTTTTTTATCTACTTTGTATTTTTTCTTGTAAATTTTATTTAGTATACAATATAAAATTAATAAACTTAATGGCAATACTGCATCGTTAAAAAACAAAAAATAAAACCATTCGATTCCTCATGACTAGACAAATCCAATGAGCTAATATTCATTGATTTGGATCAGCCAATCATGAGATATGTGCGATCGAATTTCGAAATCCGAACTCCTTTATTTAAAGTAGAATTTAATGATTTATAATTTCGGCCAATAATACAATTGCGATTATCTCGCGATTGGATGATCCGAAATCAATGAATGTTAGCTCATTGGATCCGTCTAGTTGCGAGGAATCGAATGGTAGTTGTTACATACGAATCGGAGCGATATTGACCGAGATCGTACATCTTTTTTTTTTCTATATATAAAAAATCATGTGATATAACGTCATTTCAACCGAATTTTTTATAATAGATTTATAAAGTTTTTTAAGTAGTACTTTTATTCTACCATTTAAGGGATAAGGTTGTGTGATTTTTCCACAAAGGCAAATAATCATAAAATGCATGGATGTGATTGTAACCTTCTAAGGAAATTCAACTATGCCTTTTAGACAAATCAGCCGACATCACAAGACATTTCACAGCCTGATATAAATAGATGGCGGGAATATGTATGAAAAGTCAAATTTCTTAATTTCATTATTTCTTTAAATGATAACTCATCTACAAATATTAACAAATAAAAATTATGATTCTCTTTCAAATGAAAATATGAAAAAAAGCAAAAAAAGCAATGGTAATGATATACACTATTCTACAAGAGAAAGATTGATACCTACAAGTGATGCTAAGGTGTAAGTATAAATTTTAATGATTTGAGGGCTTTTCTTCTCTTTTTCGTCGTAGGAATTCATTTTTTTCTTATAAGAAACTACTATTCTTTTTTTTTTTTAAAAAAAAAAAAATCTTCCGTTTTACTTGTTCTTCGAATGTGGATTATAGAACATTAGGTCACGATGTAGAACTACGAAAAGCACTTATTCCTCTTATAGTCGATATGATACCAGGTTGGAATGATGTCTCTCATGAATCTCATATTCAAATAGAGAGGGTCAGTGGAGCTCTTACAAACTGCGTGTTTTTCATTACGAAGAAATTACAACCACTTAAAAAAGTTGAAAATGAAAAACCTCCTAAAATAGTGCTCCGAATCTATGGTATTGGAGTGGATCTATTTATTGATAGACAAAAAGAATTACGCTTTTTACAAATGTTGTCATCCGTAAATATTGGACCACAATTGTTGGGAATTTTTAAAAATGGTAGATTTGAACAATACCTAGAATCTACGACACTAACAAATTGCGAGTTGCGCACTCAATCATGTCGTATTGCTCAACGAATGTTTCAACTTCATTATATTGTTCGTTTATTTCCACCGCCACGAGATACAATTCCTGAAGTTTGGGCCAACATTGATAAATGGTATCCATTCGCTTTAAATACTATATTTTCGAAGGCATACATGTGTACTGAAAAGCAGAAAAGAGAATTGAAAGAATTTGATTTTGATTTGTTGAAACATGAGATTGAACATCTTAAAGTCATGCTTTTTAAACTTGACTCTCCAATCGTCTTTGCACATAATGATGTAAGTAGATATGATTTTCCTGTTCTTTTTAAAGCTTCTTGCTTTAAATACGAGATTACATCTCAATTTCTTTAAATTATAGACGCAGTATGGAAATATCCTTCGACTTTTGGACGGAACTGATCAATTAGTTGTGGTGGATTTTGAATATTCCGGATATAATTATCGAGGTTTTGATATTGGCAATCACTGGTGTGAATGGATGTTCGATTATCATTCTTCAGAGCCACATAAAGTTAATTTGGATTGGTATCCAACGGAGGAAGAGCAAATTAAATTTTTACAAGCTTATATATTAGCCGAACAAAAATTAATTTCTTCTGAAGAACGCTTAATTTATTCACCTTCTTTATCTTCTAGTAATAATAGTGATTATTTGCAAAAGCTTAGATTGGAAGCTAACGCTTTTGCGTTAGCGAGTCATGTTATGTGGGGTTTGTGGGGTTTGGTGCAATCAGGTCAAAGTAATATTAACTTTGATTACTTGAGTTATGGCATGTCACGCCTAAAGACTTTTAGGGATTTGTCATCTAAAATTTATGACAAAATTAATTTATTATAAATATATTACAATACATATTTATTTATATTTTCAATACATGATTTGTTCTTTTTAGTGCACATATTAAATTTTTATATTCCAAAGATAATAGAGTATTTTAACTAGTTCCTTCTGAGGGTTTGAAAAAATTTTTTGGTGGTAAACTGGTACCAGGTTCTTCGGGTGTCTAAAAATAAGAGTTATGTTTTCGTTATAAAAAATAAAATTGTTTCCTTTTAGAATAAATATCATATAAATTTACCACATAAGCAGCAGTGAGACCACCATCAACTTTAAATTCGATGCCTGTAATATAGGATGATTCATCAGAGGCCAAGAATAAAGCGGCATTGGCTATTTCAATTGGCTCGCCAAATCTTCCCAATGGTACATGAACTAAACGTCTACTTATTTTTTCATCTGTATTTAGATAATTCATTAATAATGGAGTACGTAAAGGTCCCGGACATATTGCATTAACGCGAATGTTTTCACGAGCATGGCAAACTGCTAATTCTCGACTTTCGGGGGGGGGGGGAGAAAAATTAGACAATGCATGAATGATTGAGGCATAAATTTCAGATTTTACATACCTTAATGCTATAACTGCGCCTTTGGAGGCAGTATCTAATAAAATAGTTATATAGAGTTATGTTAAACAGAGGAATATGCTTTTACATAAAATGTTCTTTAATGTAAAATTCTTACATGCTATTTGAGGAGTTGCGGCACCCATTAGCCCGACAAAACTTGCCGTGTTAATTATACTACCACCTTTGCCTCCCCTTCGGATTGCTTCAATAGCGTATTTGCATCCAAACCAAACTCCTTTAAGGTTGATATCCATAGTAAGATCCCTTTATCGTGGATTAACAAAAGGTTAATAAGCCTCAATTCAATGAAACAATTATTATTATTATATTATACTAATTACCAAACTTTTTCTTCGGTATTGAGAGCGTTATCATCGTGAGGGTGCATGATACCCGCATTATTAAACATAACATCAAGCTTACCTATTTTAAAGTGAACAAATATATTAAATAAAATTCATAAAATTTTAAATTTATAAAAAAGAATTACCAAATTCTTTCAGAGTGTCTTCCACCAATTTCTTAACTTCTGCTTCTTTGGAAACGTCACATTTCAAAGCAATAGCATGTTTACGAACATGTATTGGCCCGGTTTTATCCTTAATCCTTTCAATTGTAGCTTCAGCTGCTTTGAGATTGATATCAGCTACAACAACATCAGCTCCTTCTCGTGCAAAAAGAACCGAGGCTTCAAAGCCGATTCCACTACAATTGACAAAGCAAAGCTTTAAAATTAGCTCTTTGCAAATCTATCTTTTTTAATTTACCTTCCTCCTCCAGTAATAATGCAGACTTTTCCATCAAGACGACCTTTTAGATCCTTAACGACTTTTGTTAAAGACATTTTTTCTTTCTCCAAATTCTCAGGAAAAAAAAGAAACAAAACTTATTTGAATTTAACGTGTAACATCTAACATCGCGGCATTGTCTAATTATAGAATTGGGAAATTGTTCTTTAACGTTAAAATTCAAAATTCAAGACATTGGCTACACGTGATTGTCACATTAGATTAAAGTATACTCGATTTTTTTTTAAAAAAAAAATAAAATAAAAATGAAGACAGATTTCAAAGTAATTATTTAATTATTTGTAAATTTCGCTCTTCCATTCAAAGCAAAGGAAATATATAGTTCTTTGGTTACTTATTAATGCATATTTATAGTTTTCAAATTTATGCGGAACAGTATATACCCAAGGAAATTTATTGTTTACTCCTGATGGAAATTCATTGCTGAGTCCGGTTGGAAACCGTGTTTCAATGTTTGATCTTGTGAAGTAAGTTTTTATTATTACTTATTTTCTTTTTTTTTCGTTTATCAATCAATTCATAAAAAAATTGCTTTTTACATTCTTGCATAGCAACAAATCTCTAACTTTTCCATTTGAGACAAAAAAAAATATAAAACGCCTTGCCTTATCGCCAAAAGCTAATTTGTTACTTACGGTCGATGAAGGTTCGTTATTTTGTTTCCGTTTTAACAAATTCGATTTTATTTGCCTAATTTCTGGTTTATATATTGCTCAATCTTCAGAGGGCAGAGTTCTTTTAATTAATTTTCAACGTCGCATAGTGTTACATCATTTTAATTTTAAATCTCCAGCTGAGGATGTACAATTTAGTACAGATGGAAGGTAAGATTTCCGTGATCATTACTGTTTTTCTTGAAAACAATTAATTTAATTTAAATAAAATTAATCAGATATTTCGCTGTTGCCCTCGGGAAGCACATTCAAGTTTGGAAATCTCCAGGTTTTAACCGTGAATTTGCTCCGTTTGTTTTACATCGAAAATATACAGGTCATTTTGATGATGTCACTTCTATAACATGGACAAGAGATTCCCAGTGAGTAATTAAGTGTTTTTTATAAATATATATAATCTGGTTGTTAAGCTTTAAAAATTAATTATTTTTGTATCATAAGATTTTTTATTTCCACTTCAAAAGACATGACTGCAAGAATTTATTCTTTACATCCCATCGAAGATTTCACGGTTATAACTCTATCTGGACATAGAGATTACGTAATAGGAGCGTATTTTTCCGCTGATCAAGAAACAGTAAGTGAATTTTACCTTGTGATATCTTGAATAAAATTAAAATCTCAATTAAAAAATCTACTCATTTTTAAATCAAGATATATACTGTCAGTAAAGACGGTGCTTTATTTATTTGGAAATACAAATCACCTGATGAGTTAAATAGGGTTGAGGATGAGGATGTGGATGAAATGGATTTTGATAAAAAAGATGATACCCAATTAACCAAAAGATGGATGATAGTGACTCGTCATTATTTTAATCAATCAGGAGCGAAAGTGGTTTGTTCTGCTTATCACGCAGCGTCGAAATTATTAGTAGTTGGTTTTACATCAGGTATTTTTGGAATTTGGGAAATGCCAGATTTTAATAATATTCACACTTTGAGTATTTCACAAAAGAAAATTGATTCTGTAACAATTAATGCGACTGGAGAATGGTTGGCATTTGGATCTTCGAAATTAGGACAACTTTTAGTTTGGGAATGGCAATCTGAATCATATGTTCTTAAGCAACAAGGACATTACTATGATATGAATACTTTATCTTATTCAGCAGATGGTCAGATTATTGCAACTGGAGGTGATGATGGGAAAGTCAAAGTGTGGAATACAGTATCCGGATTTTGTTTTGTCACGTTCACTGAACATTCATCGGGCGTGACAATGGTGGAATTTGCAAAAAACGGTCAAGTGTTATTTTCCGCATCTTTAGATGGAACCGTTCGAGCGTTTGATTTAATTCGTTACAGAAATTTTAGAACCTTTACATCACCTTCACCAGTTCAATTCACCGCATTAACTGTTGATCCTAGTGGAGAAATTGTATGTGCTGGTTCGATGGATACTTTTGAAATTTTTGTATGGTCTGTTCAGAATGGTAAACTTTTAGATATTTTGTCAGGTCATGAAGGACCAATAAGTTCTTTAGCTTTTAGTCCAACTGGTGTTGAATTAGCCTCTGGTTCATGGGATGGTACGACACGTATATGGGATGTCTTTAATCGTGGGAAACATGTCGAAGTTTATCGTCATAATTCGGATGTATTGGCCATAACTTACCGTCCTGATGGAAAACAATTGGCAACGTCCACATTAGATGGTCAAATCAATTTTTGGGATGTAGAAAATGGTATTCAAACTGGTACAGTTGAAGGTCGTAAAGATATTTCAGGTGGTAGGAAGGTAAATGATAGAACTACTGCTGCAAATTCCTCTTCAGGGAAATCATTTAATAACTTATGCTATACAGCTGATGGATCTTGTATATTGGCTGGGGGTAATAGCAAATATGTTTGTCTTTATGAATTGAAAAGTCATATACTTTTAAGAAAATTTCAAATTTCACATAATTTATCTTTAGATGGAATTCAAGAATTTTTAAATAGTAAGAATATGACAGAAGCCGGACCTTTTGATTTAATTGATGAAAAGGGGGAATTAAGTGATCTAGAAGACCGGTTAGATAATAGTTTACCAGGAACACAAAGAGGAGACCTTTCATTACGTAAAACAAGGCCAGAAATTCGAACAAAATCTATAAAATTTTCACCAACAGGTAGATCATGGTCAGCAGCATCAACGGAAGGTTTACTAATTTATTCATTAGATGAAAATTTGATATTTGATCCATTTGAATTGGAAATTGATATCACACCTATAACAGTATTAGAAACTTTACGCTCAAAAGAATATCTTAAAGCAATAATCATGTCATTTAAACTTAACGAATTATATGTAATTCATCAAGTATATGAAAAAATTTCACCTGAAAACATTGAATTAATAGTTAAAGGTTTACCAGAAAAATATACGGAAAAATTATTAAAATTTATTGCCAACAACATTGAAGAATCTCCTCACATTGAATTTCATTTATTATGGATAATGAAATTATTAACTATACATGGAAGATATTTAAGACAATATTCTAATCAATTTTCGAGTATATTACGGTTATTACAAAAAGCTATTGGAGAAACTCAAAAAGATTTGGCCAAGATGTAAGTAACGAAATATAATTGAAATTTTCAATTAATTTTTGGTTTCTTTTTGATACCTATATTTATTTTATTTTCCATAGATGCGATGAAAATACTTATACAATAGAATATTTATTATCTATATAAGATAATTGATCTTAATAATAAATAAATATCGTATTTTGAAGCGTAATTTATATTGAAAACCAGCGTTCAAAGTTTTTTTTAATCGATTATCCGTTGCATTCCAAGCGAAGATCCACAATAAGTTTTAAATTCACGCAAGATGTACTCGAACCATGTCTTAAAAATATAAAGTTAAGGGATTATCAATAATAATTAAATAATTGATACATTTTTATTTTTGTTTTTTTACATGGTTTAAATAAAATTTCTTTTCATTTATTTTCTGGACGGAGTCTTCGTACAACTTTACCAGCACTCCATAGTTCACTTTCGCTATAAAAAAAAAAATAATTATAATTGAAATAATTTAAACAATCCTTATTTATTTATAATATAATAGTTTTTACCTAATTTCTTTTAATTCCTTTTCTAATTCTTCCCGATACGTTGGTAAAGAATTTTTTTCCAAAGTTCTTCGAGCTTCAGTTCCATCAGCAACGGAATTATATAATTTTTCAAAAACTGGTTTGGCAGCGTCATGGAACGGTTTATACCAATCGAGAGCGCCACGTTGTGCAGTAGTTGAACAAGCGGCATACATCCTTAAAATATATAACTTAGTAATATAAAAAATAATATACAAAAAAATATTACATTTTCATATAATATTTACCAATCCATTCCGTTTGCACCAATTAATGGATACAACGATTGTGTTGCCTCTTCTACAGTTTCATTAAACGCTTCGGAAGGTGTATGTCCTCGTGATCGTAAAACTTCATATTGAGCAAGGAATAAACCTTGAATGGCACCCATAAGCACACCCCGTTCACCAACAAGATCAGAAAAGACCTCTCTTTCAAATGTTGTTTCATAAAGATAACCTGACCCAATGGCCACACCTAGAGCCACTGCCTTATCTTTTGCTTTACCAGAAACATCTTGGAAAACTGCAATAGAAGAATTTATACCACGTCCCTCAAGGAAGAGAGAACGAACGGTCCTGCCTGATCTATTTTACACCGAATCAAATATAATAATAATAATAAAATAAATAGACTTAACAAAAATCAAATTAAAAATCTTAAAATTAAATGATTGATTATTTATATATACCCTTTTGGAGCAACCATAATTACATCAATGCCCTTCGGAGGTACAACATGAGTATCATCTTTATATACAATAGAAAATCCATGGGAGAAATATAAGGTCTTCCCTTTTGTTAGATGTGGTACAAATTGGGACCAAAGTTCTTTTTGAGCAGCATCTGATAAAAGATTAAAAATAATCGTTCCTTTTTTCAATGCCTCATCAATAGGAAAGAGTGTCTTTCCGGGAACCTATTTTTATATTTATTATATTGATGAATGCGTAAATCGAATTGAAGTAATAATAACATCAAATCTTATAAATTTTCATAAAGAAAATAATCTATAATATGTACCCAACCATCCTCCAATGCTTCGTTCCAACTCCTTCCTTCTCTGAGTCCAAGGATAACATTTAATCCATTATCACGTGCATTCAAACTTTGTCCGCTTCCTTGTGGCCCATATCCAATTATAGCAATTGTATCATTTTTGAAAAATTCTTGAAATTTATCTTTTGGCCAATCGGATCGTTCATATATATTTTCTTTGGTTCCACTAAAGTCGAGAGTTTTCAATGTTCGAATTTGATTTGGTTGAGCGCACTTTTTTAGACCGTTTAAAACCTTAAACTTAAAAGTTGAAATGTTCGAAAAAAAAAAGCCCAATATTTACAAAAATTTTAAATAGTTTCTGAAATTTTATTTTTTTATTACCTTAATAATAACAGCTTTTTTGACATTTGAACTTGATAACAATGAGAAAGCCCTTGAATTAACAGTAACCTGCCTTTGTTGCCTTAAAAGAGCAGCAACATTAGAAGGACGACTTAACGAACGAAATAAAAAGCGTGTAGAATTCATTTTGTTATTTAAAATAAAATTTTTTTTCAATTTAATTGATGAATCAGATTGGACCGCCTTAATAAAACCTAATGAACCAATCATATCGACTCTCCGAAACATAAGGAAAAAAATTTGAAATTCCATAAATTTTAATGGCAAATCATTTCATTCTCATAATATACATTATTTCCTTTATTATTTTTTTTTTCTTTTGAATTAGATTTGAACATCTGCAACTACCTTATTCATAATATTATGTCTTTTAAACTCTGAAAAATCACGAATTAAAATATAATAGAGTATTTCAAAATATTTATACTATGTAGATTTGAAAATTTATAAATGTAATATTTCAAAAATTTATATAATATAAAATATCAAATTTTTATGTAATATAATACTTCAAAGATTATGAATCAAAATTCTTTAATTGATTATGTTATAAAGAAGAATTATGTTACAAAAGATACATATTATAGCTTTCTAAAAAGATATGATTTGAAATTTTCTATACTAAGTATTTTAATCTTTAAGTGTAATTTTATATTATTATAAAGGTAAATTTTGTTGTATAATTTGATTCCAATTTTAATTTTATGATTATATCAGATTATATTAATCTTTTTTTTATTTTATGAGAACTTAAATCAAAAATTTGTGAAAATTACAACTTTGCTTTTGTATTTTGAATATTCTTTTGACACAATAAGTTTTCCAATTAAGGAGTTTGAGAATTTCTTAGTTTCACTTAAAAGATCAGATAACTTATTTCAGGTTTTTATTATTTATTTGATATATTAGATTACTATTTTTTTCATAATTTTTCTCTTTTATTTTCATGCTTTTCTTTTTATATTCCTTCTTTCTTTTCTAATTTTCACATTCCATTGATTTTTTTTCAACTTTTATATTATAATTATTTAATCATTACCTTTCTCTTAATGTTATAAATATTGTCATAATTTAGCTGATTTATTTGATCTCCTGATTATTTTTTTAGGCTTACTCTTATAAATTATTAGTAATATAGAGGTATAATCTAATTAATCCAGATTATACATAAAGTTGAAATGGATCATTTCGGATATCCGAAATGGTCAAAATAGTCGAAATTATTTTTTTTATATTTTAATGATGCGGTACTGTCAGTATATTTTATTAATTTATATAAAAATACAATAATAGTAAAATCAAAAACTAACAAACAAATGACTAATTACCACCCGTAACTATATTGCAAGTCCATTTGAGTCGATCAAGCATCACCACCCCCTTCAATAAACCTACTACACGCATGCATAATGACTACTATCTTCAACAGAGGATGGAAATAAACCATGGTCAATACTACTTTGTTATCTTCTTTCTAAAGTAAATTTCCGAAAAACAAAACAAAAAATGTAACCCTTCAACTAATAGTGACATATTTTCTGAAGAAGTAACTATGAAACCTGACCATCTACGCTAAAGAATTTAAAAAAAGAAGCAACATAAGGGGATTCTACTAAGTTCCTAGCTAAATTGTCCAGTCAATTCCAGATTACAACAATCACCTAACACAGGTATATCACTAAGTTCTAATAGATACTTTTCAGATTATCGCTTCCAATGCTAAAATGTCTGTCAATTCAGATTACAGCCGATCTCTGGCACAGGATGAGGCCCAAATCACACAGTCGGTCAAGTCTGGAAATACTGCGTAGGATTCCGCAGTCTTCGACGTCAGAGATCTACAAAAAAGAGTGTTACTATTTATGAAGGAATAGGGATGTCATCATGCAGATTTGTATATCCAAAGTATGTTGATCATGATCGTTAGTTGGGATACCCCTTGATGCCCACTTTTGTAAGCAATTAATTTTGAAAATGAAAAAAACGAGAAAAAATATAGTGAAGAGAGGTAAAGAAAAAATATTTTAACAAAAAACAACACAGTTTAGACTTCAACGGCAATTTTTATGTGGATAAGAGTTGGGAAAACAAAAAGAGGAAAATTTTTAATTTTTATTTTGTTCGCAGGCTAAGCCGCAGCTGCCTTTGAACAGGCACTTTTTTAAAATAAAAATTCTTGGATAAAATCCAACGAGAGAGAAAGAGTTTTTTTCCAGTCGAAATCATTTTTTTTAACAATGTGGCATTGCCAATAACTTTATTTAATTTTTATAAGTAGTAAATACAAAAGTAGAAACAAAAAACTAATTTTAAAGTACTAGCT